CGAGAAAGCTTGCCCATGATTTCTGCATGTGTGTATGTGAGGCATGGCACTGGACTCATGAGACTGATTTTCACACCAATCTGAATGCTCGTTTCGAATGCTGCATTTCAAACTCCCCCATTTTGTGTGTGTGTGTTGTTTTGTTTTTTTTGAGGTGCAGTTTCACTCTTGTTACCCAGGTTGGAGTGCAATGGCGCGATCTCGGCTCACCGCAACCTTTGCCTCCTGGGTTCAAGCAATTCTCTTGCCTCAGCCTCCAGAGTAGCTGGGATTACAGGCATGTGCCACCATGCCCAGGTAATTTTTGTATTTTTAGTAGAGACGGGGTTTCACCATGTTAACCAGGATGGTCCCAATCTCTTGACCTTGTGATCCACCCGCCTCGGCCTCCCAAAGTGCTGGGATCATAGGCGTGAGCCACCGCGCCGGCCTCAAACTCCCACTTTAGAGGCAACAGACTTGCTCTGTTTTCATTGTTGTTGCTCCAATATTTTCAGAACCCTCCAAGGCTCTCAATAGTCAATTCATTCTCTTTGTGCCAAGTAAGAAAAATGAAAAAGTAAACTGTATTGTATTATGCCATGGAGATTTGGGTGTTTTTTGCTACTCCAGTTTAACCTAGCCTATCCTGATAAATTCAGCCTCTACAGAAAGAATTCTGTATCTAGTAATGTGTCACTACAGCTGTTTAAAGTGTTGAGAAGTAGTTTAATCTTCTGGCTTAAAGTGCTTGAAATTATCTTTAAATATAGGATAGGTACTGTAGACTGAGGCAAGGTTAAACTTCAGGAACAAAAAAAGTTGGCTTCATATTTGAAGAAAAAAGGATTTAAAACAAAGAGCCAAGCCTTTGTAGTTCAGGGAATGATGCATTTCCTAGTGTGACAGAGAAGAGTAAATTGTCCAGTGCAGCTGGCATTTACAGTAAGAGATTGGTGGGAGTTGGCAATAATGGGCAGTAATGTAAAGTAAATGGCAAAATTAGAAAGTGACATTCTTTGAAAGGTCTTGAATGTTCTACTAAATAGTTTGAATTTTATGGAGCACGCAGTATCATAAAGTAGTCAAGTGACATCATCAAAACTGTTAAGGGAAAGTAGTAAAGTGAGAAGAATCCTAGAAGACTGGGTCTTGAGGCCAGTTAGCAGGTTTTTGCAGTAGTTCAGACAACACCTAATGAGGGCCATAATGTTATTCGAAAGACATAAAGAACTATAATGCTAATCTGTTAATTGTTTATTCAAAGCAGTTTCTACTTTACCATGTTACCTAAAGATTAACTTTCACTACATTTCTCACTATATTGATTGATGATTTCGATAGTAAAAGAAAAATGTTTAACATTGTGATTTCACTAAACAATATATGACATTGAATAAACTTCTGGGACTATCTTGACAGTTACATTACTGTCTACCTTCAATTAGTTTACATGTAAACTGGATAAACAGTATATTCTTTTATTATTCTAAAACTCTGAAAAAATGAAATAGATTATTTCTATGAAATTACCTTAAAACCTTTGTGTCCTTATAAATTCATAAGAAAATTATTTTTAAATTAAGATAAAATAAATTACTATTAGACTGTAGATTATTTTTATATGATAGAGTTAAACATAAAATACATATATTCTCAAAGCCATAGTTTACTCATATTAATGGGGGTTGTAATGGTGCCTGCTTCGTAAGATTATTATGGATATTAAATAAAATAATATTTGTAAAGTAATTGATTTATCTGACAAAGAGTAGACTATAGAAACATTAGTATTAATATTGTTGCTACATCAATCATCAAATAGAAGTAACAGACCAAAAATAGAAGTAAAAAAAATGAAGTGACAAATGAGTCATTTAATATGACAAATACTGGCAATAACGTGTTTTCTTTTGCATAGCTTTTAAATAAAGAAATAATTTTAAAATTTAAAAACCTGTAAATATTATAATTGTCTAAATTATTTTTTCCATCCATTCAACTGATTTTAGTAAGCATCTATGATGTACATTATTCAAGTTTCTGAGCTGGAAAGATACAAAAACACAGTTCTAGCCCCTAAAATTTTACATTCAAATGGGGGAAAAGCCATTTTTAAAAGTAAATATTATTGAAAACATAATACACTAATAAAATTGCATGCAAAAGGTAATAGGAATATAGCTAATTAGACCACTTAAATACCTTTTTTAATAGATGGTAGGGTTTTACAGAGCAATTAGGTATCTTTGTTGAATCTTGATGGAAAACAGTTTATTAAGGATATGATGGTGGAAAACTGAATACAGAAGTAGAAACAATACACACAGGCACATAAGACCAAATACATAGTAATGGTACATAGTGCTTTTGCTGACAGAGAGATGAATGGTAACGACGGGAATAAAAATCAGAGGTCTATTTTACAGGTAAGAAAACTGAGATGGAAAGGCTATGGTTTGTTTGACCCATTCAGTCAGCAAATGTGAGGGCACTGATTGGAACACAGATATTTTCTGAAATATTTTTGATGTTCTACATTGCTTTAATTTTCAAAGATATTTTTTCAAATCACCTATTTTTAAACATGAAACACATGCTTCCTTTTGAAGCAATATCTCAGTTGAGTAGTGTTTCTCAGCTAGCCCATTGGCCTCTATTTATCTTGTAATGTTTCCAAAACACTTACAAATAATGCCATGGTCTGCCATCATTTCTAGTGAAAAGTCCTAATGAATTATAAGCAGAGGATTTGGAGATACATCTCCTTTGACACAACAGCAATGAATAAATGGGTGGCAGGGGGTCGGGATGTGATCAGCAGTGGGCCATGTGGAAAGAAAAGGAAGCGTACTTCCAGTTCTATTTATACATCAGACAACAGACAGCATGAGGTAGGGAGCAAATTATTTACTGACCACAGCACGAAACATGAGTTTGAAGTAAGTATATCAAAATTTGTCTTTCAATTATAAAACGTGCCCCTATGCTCAAGCAGCTTATTCTCCAACAGGTTAAATAGTACATGTGTATTGGTATCAGAAAAACGAAGGATGCAAGTGTAGCATTAAATCCATAGGAAGTGGAAAGAGAAGAAAACATTATTTTTCATTGGAGAACTAAAAACAAAGTTAACTGGAGAGAAATGATGTGTAGAACCCTTGAAGGGAAAGCATAATTTACACTGAAAGATCTGTAGGGGCTGGTGTGAGGGCCTTGGTGAGTAATTCATTGGGGATGCTTTTGAAATTTGGTAAGCAAATGACAGGAAAGAGAATCTTCTTTTTGTCATGTTAGAGAATCATATTCCTATATTCCACTAAATGAATTCATCTGTGTTTTATAATACTGAAATACGGCTAGTTGGTGGATGTAACATGTGCATTTCATAAAACTATAACTTCCCAAAAGTACATCAGGTCAATGAGAAACTGAATGGTGTCATTTGCACAGTCTTATGTAAGATGTTTGGGCTACGTATTAATTTTTAGCTTAAGGTATGCTTTTTGTTGACAAATAAGAAAATTTATACAACTATTGGAAAATGTGTGTGTGTGTTCCCCTATGAAATATTTATATACCTTTGAAGGAAAGAAATTATTTTAAACTGACCGTGGCTTGTATTACTTTGCCAATAATAATGAATATAGAGCCAAATGACTAACATAATTGGCCCTTCTGAGATGAAAGGAGCAGTGGGGAACCAGAGAAATTCAAAATGATCACCTTTCTTCAATTAGTAGAGGCTTTTTGAAAAGGAAGAAATACATATTTTCTATATTTTTTTCACTCTGCAAGAGAGTTAACTGTATCGTCTTGGATATACCCGGAGATCTTCTGGGGAGAGTCTGTACTATTTTATCATTCTGATAGTACTTTTTCTATGCTCTCTAAATCTAGAAGCAGAGAAACAGGCACCTTACTTCCAAAAATAATGTTAATTCATCACATCTTTTTCTGTTATTTATTCACATGTTAATGTAAGAGATCTTCTTGGAGCATCTGAAATGTGACACATATGACAGAAGCATGCAATATAAAGACAGACATGCAAATAGCTGCAAGTCAAGGCAAAAGGAACAGTAGGGCAGCATGCATAGATGGCATTGAGGAAGAGTTAACTATTGGTCTCTAGGACTGCTAATTAAAAACTTCCTGGGCTGAATGGCCTAACGATTTTCTTTAAAAAATAATTAAAAATTCAGAACAAGCCTGGGAACAGTGGCTTACACCTGCAATCCCAGCACTTTGGGAGGCCAAGGCAGGAAGATGGCTTGAGGCCAGTAGTTCCAGACCAGCCTAGACAATATAGCAAGACATTATTTCTACAAAAATTATTTTAAAAAATTAACGGGGCATGGAGGCAGGTACCTGTAGTCTTAGCTACTTGGGAGGCCAAGGTGGGAAGATACCTTGAGCCCAGGAGTTTGAGGTTACAGTGGACTATGAACATGCCACTGCACTTCAGCCCCTGGTCAACACAGACCTTGTCTCTTTTTTAAAAAAAAATCAGAACAGTAATGTTTTTAATACAACAATCTCACAAATTAAATGATGCTTTTTGTTCTTTTCCCCATTTTAAAAAAGAGGAAGTTAAGGCTTTGGGTGTTTAACTGACTTGTTTAATAGAGCAGGACTCCTAAGTGGCAGCATTGGACGGAGAACCCAATCATGATGGTATTTGTCTGGTATTAAATGTTTACTATGTGCCAGGAACTGTGTTAAGCACTCAGTATTTTTTCTTCTCATTTAATATTCAGAGGAAACTATACAGTAGAACCTATTAATGGAGTATAATGAGAGGCAGAAATACAGTATATTGGAAAAATGTAACATATTATTTTCAGGTAATATATACCACATGAGAAAACTTGTCAAATTAAGAAGAGACATTGGGAAAGAGTTATAAGAACTTGTGAACACAAAAATGTCTTTAGTAATTCAAACCTGATAGTGTTCTGCTGACTTAATTATAATGTAAAATGAAACAGGAAGATATTTGTAAATTTATGTTTTCTCACCTATATTTCCTGTTGGCCATTGCCTCATGTCAAGAAACCCACGAGAAACAGCTCAGCTTGAAAGAAAATGTGGCTGTCCATTTTCCTGAATGATGTGTTTCTTCTCCTTCATAGTAGCCAAAAAGAGAACATAAGTGAGATGTACAATTGAAACAACACAAATGCTATATTATTTTGTAGTTGAGGAAAACTGACGTTTCAGTAAATTACCCAAAGTCTCACAGATTGGCAAATTGAACTTAGGCTTTCTGACTACAAAGATTGTTTAACAAATATATTACATTCTTCACCTTGAGTACTTACCATGCTACATCTTAACAAAGACCTTCTTCTGATGCAGGTTTGTGAAATAGTCTACAATACATGAAAATTTACCACATCAAATCACTTCTGATGAACTGGTAATTCATGGTGGCTGCCAATATTAATAGCAGGAATTGAAAAGTTAGGGCCTGTGGTGTGGGTCATCTAGAGTATGCAAATTTATGATTAACTTGATAAGCTTCTAGGATGCCAACTGGACTTAAAAGTTGCTTTTAAAGTGTTCTTTCATATTAATTCTGCGATTCTAAGCAATAATCTATATGGACAAAGAAAAATGAAGATTGAGTGTATGTTAATAGAAAATATATGTGCTGTTTCCTAGTGACTCTGTTTCTAAAACAGGGAAGTAACCCCCCATGGTATCATGTATGTGTAATTTCATTACATTTTAATAATAAGGAAACATCATTGAAGATTTATGCTGGCCTTAGATGGACAAATTATAAATTTATATATAGAAGTCACTGAAGCGTTAGTATCCATTAATGGACAAAAATAAATTTATTATAACTCACTATAATGGATTAAAAAAACACCACATTGACATAATGTGAGCAGTGTCTCAAGAGGAGAAAGTTAGAAATAAGCTATTTACCTGGCTCTGGAGAGATGGTTCACATGATTAAAGAAGGGGAGCACTACACACTGGGATCTGCTGGGGAGAAATAGGGGAGGAATAGCGGGGGGAGGGGAGTTGGGGAGAGATAGCATGGGGAGAAGTGCTAGATGTGGGTGATGGGGAGGAAGGCAGCAGATCACACTGCCACGTGTGTGCCTATGCAACAATCTTGCATGTTCTTCACATGTACTCCAAACCCTAAAATGCAATAAAATTTAAAAAAGGAGGGTCTTTTAGGTTGGGGAACTAAAAATGGACAAAAATGGGAATATAAGAATTTAAAATTAATGAGCATAATTAAGATTTTAAAGCAACTGTTGATAAGTAAACTCATTTTCACCAGATGAACAAATAATTGTTTCTTATAAGAATATCCTGAAACAAAAGATGATTCATGGGTTTAGTCTTATTTTTCCAGCACAAAACTTCTCTGAAACCAGGAACTAAGTCATGTTCCCATAGGTGGTCTACAATCTTATCTAAAATCATGTTGACAACAGATGACACTATGTGAGACCCCTTCTGGTTGTTGATTCATGGGCCCAAAGTGGGAGTCCCAGAGACCCCCTTTCTTTTTAGATGTGCCCATTTGTAGCACTGATTACATAATTAATAGTTTCTATCATTCTGACGTATATCAAAAGGTAGTGAAAACAAATTTTTAATTTGGAAATAGACACATGGTCTTTTATTTACTCTTTTTGTTGAAATTTAACTTACATGATTATATTTGTCATTCACTAATATTTACTTTGTAAGTGACATTAAGATTTCCACGTTGTTGCTGTAATCATAAACTCCAAAAAGGTCATGTTAGCAAATTATTTATTCATTAGTCTTAGGTGTGTCAGTTGGTACTGACTGCAGACTGACTTATGCATACCAATGACCATTATTTCTATTTATTCATATTAAAGTATTTACTTGTAATAATATTTTTATTCTACATCATTGGGTAAATATTTCACATTAAGATAAATGCCATAAAATTAACATGCCACTAAATTTTCTGTATTCTTTAACCTAATAAAGAACACAGCATGACTGTTACTAATTAAACTTAGACTTTTATATTTCAACTCATAATGTTCCCAAATATATAAAGGTATAAGAAAACAAATATCCCCAGAGTTTTATTAAATTACACATATATCTTTCTCTTTTATTTCAGAAACTTCTAATTTTCTTCTAAATCTTCATTGGTTGCCTAGTGAGTATAAGTTGACTAACAAATGCTGGATAGTAACTGTCATAAACATGATATTTTTTTCATTGAAATAAATGAAAGTTCAGGCTGAAAAATAGTAATTTCTCATGGCAAAATTGCAGGATTAATATTAAAGTTTAACTCACATTAGTTAGTAAAAATATGCTCTTTCATCTTGCATGGGATATCAAAGTGTTTTTAGTTGAATCCCTTGACAAAAGTATGCTTTACAACTAAGGGATAGTATGTGTGGGATTATTAAAGGATGTCATTGCAGTGATTATTAGCTACTTCTTGCTTTGTCTTCTTTGTATTATGGCTCATCTAAACACACCTGAGTGCTATTTTTAAAGAATAAGTGTCAGGGTGTAAATTGGTATTTGAGAAGTACTTTGTGTCTGTTTTTTGATGTGCCTATATCATATTTAAATGTCTTCTGTTGAGGTAATGATTTTTCTAAATTTTACAGGTGAAATATTTACATGGTTTCTCAAATTCCTCATTAAATTGATGAGCAAAGAGACTTAAAGTTATGCTTTGTATTTCTCACAAAATCAAAACCTGAATTTGACATTCTGACGGTGGCCAAATATGTTTCTTTCAAGTCAAGATGAGGGGGAAACAGTTGGTTTTAGAAACACCCCAAATCTATTGAATCAAATTTGATTCTGTATGTTTTTCTTCTGATCTCCATTCTTACCACCACACACAATTCTCCCATGTTGACTTCTGAAGTAAATCAATCTGTAATGGGCCACATGAAGAGCCATCTCAAATAACTGCGAGAGCTGACCCTTCTCACCTCTATCAAACAAAATGATAAAAATGGCAGTGACAGCAGCAGGACCTATTTACTTGGCCTGCATTACCAGGATCACCAGATGTGAAGGCTTATGGACACCTAAACCTTGCAGCTATATTTGACTTGTATTTATATTTAGTCTTTCCATTTTATAGTATATTTTTGTGTAGCAAGCTGTGGTACATTTCCAGAATCACTATAAAGCAAACAGGAAATCTCTGGTGTTGTAATACATGTGTACAATGTGTAATGACCAAATTAAGGTCTTTAGGATATCAGCCACCTCAAATATTTTCTTTGTGAGTTGGGAACATTTCAGTTTTCTCTTCTAGCTATTTTGAAATATAAATAAATTGTTAACTGCAGTCACCTTACGGTGCTATTGAAGGCTTGAACTTATGTCTTCAATATAATTCTATGTCTGTACACGTTAGCCAGTATCCCATCATCTCCCCCATTAGAGAGTGTGATGCTTCCAGCTTTGTACTTTTTGCTCCACATTGCTTTGGTTATTTGGAGTCTTGGGATTCAGTATAAATTCTGGTGTTGTTTGTTTGTTAAGTTCTGTGAAGAATGTCACTGGTATTGTGATACAGATTGTGTTGACTCTGTAGATTGCTTTGGGAATTATGGGCACTTAAAAAATATTCTTCTGATCCACAAGCATTAAGTATCCTTTCATTTGCTTGTGGCCCCTTCAATTTAATTTCATCCATGTTTAGTTGTTTCCCTTATAGAGATCTTTTAACTCCTTGGTTAAATTTATTTCTAGGTATTTTTTGTAGCTATTGTGAATGGGATTATTTTCTTGATTACATTTTTAGCTTCTTTGTTATTAGTGTGTAGAAACACTGTTTGTTTTGTATATTGATTTTGTATCTGTGCTTTACTGATTTTTTAAATCAATTCTAAGTGTCTTTTGGTGTAGTCTTTAGGCTTTTCTTTATATAGGATTATATCATCTGCAAAAAAAGAGAGTTTGACTTCCTCTTTTCCAATCTAAATGGCTTTCATTTTTTATTCTTGCCTGATCTAGTTAAAAATTCTAATACTGTGTTAAATAAGAGTAAGGAATGTGGGCATAAAAACTTGTCTTTTTCATACAGTATTCTTTACCTGCAGAATTTTTTTCTTTTATTACATTAAATATATCATCCCAGTCTCTCCTAGCCTTATGTGACCTGATGCTTTTTTATCTTTATGTTTATACAACACTTCTTCCTTTGTCTTTGATTTTGGACAGTTTGGCAATAATGTCCCTTGAAGAAGGCTTTTCTGGGTTAAGCCTATGTGGGGATCCTTAAGCTTTTTGTGTTTGGATGTCTATATCTCTTGGAAGACTTGGGGAGATTTTAAGCTATAATTTTGTTAAATAGGTTTTCCATACCTTTATCCAACTCATCTCCTTCTAAAGTTCTCAAAATTCAAATATTTGTTCTCTTCATGGTGTCCCATATGTTCTGTTAGCTTTTTTCATTCTTCAGCTTTCTTTTTTTTTCTTCTTTTTTGTCAATGTTAGTATAAACAACTTATCTTCAAGTTTGTAAACTTTTTCTTCTGCTTAATCTAGTCTGAGTTTGTCCAACAGCAGCCATGGGCTATATGCAGCCCAGGATGTCTTAGGATGTGGCCCAACACAAATTCATAAGCTTTATTAAAATGTTAGGAGACTTTTCAAGATTTCTTTTTAACTTATCAGCTATCATTAGTGTAGTGTATTTTATGTGTGACCCAGGACAATTCTTCTTCTTCTATTGTAACCCAGGGAAGTCAAAAGATTGGACACCCTTAATCTAGTCTGTGATTGAAGATCTTGATTTTATTTTTCATTTAATCCACTGCATCATTTAATTTTAGAATGTCTATTTGGTTCTTTTAAAATAATCTCTATTTATTTTGTTTTTTAATTTCTCATTCAGCTTCTCAACTGTTTTCCTGGTTGTTTTTGCATTCTTTATCTGCATTCTGTGGTAGCTCATGATTTCTTTAATATCATTATTTCTAATTATTTTTCCAGAATTTCTGGAGTTTTATTATTAGAATTTCTTAGTAGAAATTATTAGAAAAATGAAAATCAAAACTACAATGAGATACCATCCCACACCAGTCAAAATGGCTATTATTAAAAAGTCAAAAAATAACCATTACTTGAGAGGTTGCAGGAAAAAAGAAAAACTTATACAGTGCTGTTGGGAATGTAAATTATTTGAGCCATTGTGGAAAGCATTTTGGCAATTTCTCAAAAACCTTAAAACAGAATTACCATTCGACCCAGCAATCCCAGTATTGGGTATATGCCCAAAGGAGTATAAATCATCCTACCAAAAAGACACATGCACATGTGTGTTCACTAAAGCACTATTTACAATAGCCAAGACAGGGAATAAAGCTGAATGCCCATCAGTGGCAGACTGGATAAAGAAGACATGATGTGTATGCTCCGTGGAATACTGCACAGCCATGGAAAAATAAGAACATGTCCTTTACAGCAACATAGTTGAAATTGGAAGCCATTATTCTAAGCAAACTAACTCAGGAACAGAGAACCAAATACCACATGTTCTCGCTTGTAAGTGGGAGCTAAACATTGAAAACATTTGGACACAAAGAAAGGAACAACAGACACCAGGGCCTACTTGAAGGTGGAGGTTGGGAGGAGGGTGAGGATCAAAAAATATATATTGGGTACTATGATTATTACCTGTGTGATTAAATAATCTGTACACCAAATTCCTATGACATGCAATTTACCTGTATAACAAACTTGCGTGTGTACCCTGAACATAAGGGTTTTAAACAAGGGAGAAAATTATTGTGTTCCTTTGGAGTTGTCATAATATTTTTGTTTTTTCATGTTTCTTGTGTCTTTACATTGATATCTGTGTATCATTGAAGGTATCAATATACAGACACAAGAAACAAACAGTTACTTCTTCCAATTGTTTGGATTGGTGTTCATAAGGAAAGACAGTTTCTAAAGATGTATTTATAGTATTGTTCAGGCAA